GCCAGGAATTGAATTCAGGACCTCTGGAAGAGCAGCCAGTGCTCTTAACCTCTGAGGCATCTCTCCAGCCCTTGATAGCTATTTTTAAGTATTTTTAAAAATTTCTTCAATGCCTGTGCGTGTTGATTGATATGTGTATGTGTACCATATGTGTGTCCAGTGCTCCGAGAGGTCAGAAACTGTTTCAGCTCCGCTGGAACTAGAGTTTTGGATCATTGTGAGCTGGTTTGTGGGTGCTCGGAACTGATCCCAGATCCTCCAGAAGACTAACAAGTGCCCTTAACCACTGAGTCATCTCAGTAGCCCCAGGATTTGGCCTTTTGATCCCTTTGTATACGTGTGAACCTTCATGAGTGTAAGTGCATTGTGTGCATACATGAGTGCCTGAAGATGGTGTCAGATCCCCAGGAACTGGAATTACAGATGGTCATAGACGGGCAGGCGCTGGAACTGAACTCAGGGCCTCTGCAAGAGCAGTAAGTGCTCTTAACTACTGAGCCATCTTTCCAGCCCCAGCTATTTGTTTTTTGTGATTCTGATATTTATTTTATTTGCTTTGAGACAAGGTCTCACCATGTAGCATTGGCTTGCCTGGAGCTCACTATGTAGACCAGGTTGGCCTTGAACTCACAGAGCTCAACCTGTTTCTGCCTTCCTGGTGCTGCGATTAAAGGCGAGGGCCACCATACTTGGCTCTAATTTGTATTATTATCCCCTTAATACTTTCAGAGAAGAGAAAATGTCTAAGATCCCTCAGATTTCAAGAGACATTTCCTGTTTCTTCATGGCCCCCTCCCCCCAAAATAAATTCCCCCTTCCCTTAGGGAACTATAACAGGAAAGGAAAACAATTTTGCTTCTAAAATCTAAAAGCTTTGATTTCCCTAAGCAGGATCACCCCTTCCAGGCTCTGAGTTGAGACCACTCTGCTGTGTTACATCTGAAAGTCTCACCTCTCTGGACTGTGAGATGGAGTAGGCAGTGTCTGCTCTTCTGGGCGGAGCTGAGAACACACTGAGACGCACACTAGGAGGACCTGAATGTCCAAAGAGAGAGAGAGAGAGAAGAAGGGCTCTTCATCTGGAACCCTTTTGAACAACCAGCCGGCCTACTGGGAAGTCTTTCTGTGCCCGCCAGACCTCAAGCTTGTTGTGGAAAAAAACAGAGGCATTTATGGGGAAATGAAACCACCCTCCTCAGCGGAACATTCCCCCACACATTTGCTGAGGCACAAGGCTGCTACTCTGCAGGGAGCATTCAGCCTTAGGGGGCCCTTGAAGCCAGTCTGACGCCACAGGACCATTCAGAGGCTGGTAAACAGCCCATGGTATCCCAGCTCTGTGGCAAGCATTCATGCACAGAATTCTTTGTCCTCATGAGGACAGACAGAGAGCTGCTGTGTGCTGCAAAGCCCTAGGCCAGAGCCCCATTTTCAAAATCCCCAACCAGAGACCATGCCAAGGGCAAGCACACCAACAAACCTTTAAAGAACACTTGTGAAATAAGCTTGCCCAAACTTGGACTTCTGGCTTGAAAACTTAGATTTACTTGTTAATTCTAGAGGGAAGCATGGCATGACTACAGGAAGAAGTCTGGCAAGCTCCTACTTTAAAAAGCGGACCTAGCCAGGTGTTGGTGGCACAGGCCTTTAATCTCAGCACTTGGGAGGCAGAGGCAGGGGGATCTCTGTAAAGTCGAGGCCAGCCTGGTCTCCAGAGCGAGTTCCAGGACAACCTCCAAAGCTACACAGCAACCCCCAAAAGCTACCAAAAAAACCCCTTTGAAAAAAAAAAAAAAAAAAAAAAAAAAGGTGGACTTAGCACACTTCCATGCCTTCTGAAGGATGAGCTACAATGCACCCAACATTACTTCTGTGAGTGTCCTCTCCCCAAATGCATCCATCACCTGATGTGAGCATGAGGGACATCATCAGACACACCAGACTAAGGGACATGGCTACGAAACAACTGGCTCCTTACCCTTCAAAAAGATCAACGCCCGTGCCTTGGCCTGCTGCCAAGCCTGAGAACCTGAGTTCAGTCTGTAAGAACACATGGTCCCTTTGTCCCAAGTCATGTCCACTGACTTCCACACTTGAGACACACACACACACACACACACACACACAATTAAAAAAAAAATTACAGCTTCTGGATGTGGTTGTATAAACTTTGGTAGGCAAAGGCAGAAGAATTGTGAGTTTGAGGCCAGCCCTAACTATAAAGGGACTTTCCAGGCCAGCCGGAGTTACACAGTGAGACCTAAATTGAAGCAATAGTAGCTTATAACTGCAATCCCAGAATCTGAGAGGCTGAGGCAGTAGGATCAGCTTTAGTTGTGAGGCCAATCATACATAGAAAGTCTCAGGACAGTCTAGGCAACAAGGGTGAGACTGTGTCAGACAGCATTAAAAACAAAAAATAATAGACTGAGAAAATAGAGAAGAAGACAAGTAAATTCCAAGGGGGAATCAGATGGTTGAAAGCTAACTGGAAGGAAAGTTCAGCTCTGTTAAAGAAACTATAGGGGTAATCAAGAAATGTATGAATGGATGATAAATTGAGTAATAGGTCAATGTGAAATTTACTGAATATAATTTTATGTTGGGTTGCATAAGGAAATGTCCACATATACTGAAACACTTGGGGATTAAAATGCTATGATATCTACAGAACAACTCAGCAAAAAAAAAAAAAAAAAAGAGGATTATTATAGTATCTATACAGAGAGATATTAAAGTAAATAAGAAAATCATTTAAGAATTGGAGACCATGTGCTGACCATGCCTTTAATCCCAGCACTCAGAATGCAGAGGCGGGCAGATCTCTGAGTTTGAGGCCAGCCTGGTCTACATAATGAGTTTCAGGCCAGTCAGAGCTTCATAGTGAGACCCTGGAGGGTGTCGGGGATGATAAAAGGAAGGATGGAGGAGGAACTAACACCTTCAGTTGCATGCTTAGCTGAGTCACCCGGGGTTGCATTTCCTAACCTCACAGCTCAAATGGTACTCTGAAATAGGCTGTGCATTAGCCTCTTGCAAGCCCTGGTAGGGGCTGCCCATTTTGGTCTAGGAGGCTGGAGACTTAGCACTTCAGCACTGACACTTCTGCTCAAAACATTTCAAACAATTCTCTACCACACAGGAAAATAATCACTCAGTGTTGCAACCAAACCTTGCTTTCCACCCAAAATGACCCATCCACCTAACTCTCCAGCCTGCTTCCAAAGAGATCATGGGCTGTGGGAAGTGTCAAGGACCTAGAGACTCTAATGCCTTATCCACATTACCAGGAAGTCACGAGGGGCTCATAATGGACCCTAATATACCCAACATGGGAGATTAATCCCAGCGACTCCAAGGCCAGAACTCTTTTGAGGATCCTGGGACCTCTGCAGCATCTTCCAGTCCCTTTGGCTCTTTGCAAAAATGAGAAAACTCTGTTTCCCCAAGGAAATAGTCTTCTTTTCCTTTTTAAAAACTTAACCTCCTTCTTACATTTTGTGTGTGTTTGCCTGGAAGTCAGAGAACAACCTGCAGGAGTCAGTTCTCTCCTTCTACCGTGTGGATCCCAGGGATCAAACTCAGGTCATCAGGCTTTTTGCAGCAATCACTTACCCACTGCACCCACTAGTCCAAATTATCCTTTTTTAATGCATAGTTATCTCTGAATGCAGTCACAACAGAGAAAGAACAAAAATATTACTTCTGGGGATGTAGCATATTGGGTAGTGTCAGCCTAGCATATCAGAGGTTCATAGTGGGTTCAATCCCCAGCACTGCCTAAACCAGAGTGGTAGCATACAGGACCGTGATGCCAGCAGTCCAGAGGAAGATGCAGAACAGAAGTTACTCTCCAGCCCTTCATGCCTCCTTCCATGCTGCTCCTTCTGTGGTGATGCCCCTGTAAGATGGAGACCTCCTGTTCTGTAGTCACTGTCTCCAGCCTGAGCCTTATATGAGAACACCTGTGAGACGCCTTAAGGTTTAATGTCCAGTTAGTCCCTACCCATTCTACCCAGGACTCCCAACTGTCCCAGCCAGTAAATTATCACCCAGAGGACTGGGGGGCCTCATCATCTCCACTAGCTGTGTCATCCCCCCAACCCCACCCCTTTTTTCAGAGTTCAAAACATTCTGGATTTTTATATGCATTACATCATTTGGTCAGCAGAAGAGGGTTTTGAAAATACTGGACAGCATCTAGCCATGGTGCTCAAAAAGTATTTACTGAATGAGTGGACATTCCAGACCATACTAGTCTATACCTCCCCTTCCTCAAGCTAAAAATAAATGAATTGATGTACAATGGGACAGCTTGGGTAGTTCAGTCCAGGGAATCCTCCCACAACACCCCAGTGGTTATCTTCCCAGCCCTGTATGTGGGTGTAATGGCTCACACTTGAAACCCCAACACTCAAGATGCTGAGACAGGAAGGTTGTGTTAAATTCAAGGCCAGCTGAGACTATAGTGTGATTTCCAGGACAGCCTAAGATACTTGGCTACAGTGTGTCTCAAAACACAAAATGCATGTCTCAATGATACAAAAAAAAAAAAAAAGAAAGAAGGAAGGAAGGAAAATGAAAGAAAAGAAAAGGGAAGGAAAGAAAAGAGAGTCCTCCTACCTCCACCCCCATGTGTTGGAATTGCAGCTGTGACCCACCACACCAGGTCTTACAGAGTTTCTGGGGGTTTAACCCAGGCTCTCATACATCCTCAGCCCCGCCCCCCACCCCTTTAATGCCTTGCTCGTGCAAAGGTAGGCATTCTATAGTGAGTAATGGCCACTGGCGACTCTTGATTGCTCAGCAGTGATGTGGCCAGTCTGCCATGAGAATCAAGAAGCAAAGACTTCCTCCCAGTACCTGTGCAGAGGTCACACCTTAAAGCCACCAGCAAACCTAGCAATGCCATTGGGTGGATCAAGTCCAAATAGTGAGGGCTGTGTGTGCAGTCTCCCTTAGCTCCATCCCCTCAACACAAAATGCAGGAGCAGAATACATCAGGGTTAATAAATGGCTTTATTTGCCTTGTACAGCATCAACTTTCTTACATTCTGAATTAATTTGCCATTAAAGTGCCAGATATTTCCTTAATCACGATGACATTTGTTAAAAGGAATCAGAACATGGCAGTCATGAATGAACACTTTTCTTACCAACCCAGAATGGAAGCCCCTCACCTTGATGGGATGGGTTGGATAGTTTGCAAACATATTCAAATCCCCCTCTCACCTTGAGCACCAAACTAGGCTGGAACTAACACACCTGGGGATAAAAATTCATGCTACAGAGAACTGAGAAACTGTTCTCTGTAGAGGTTGGCTGCCACCTCCTCTGAGCCATGCCAAGGTGGTGCTGTTTGTACATTTCCAACCTTCAGAGCAACAAAGACCTGGCCCCCTCTGCTATGTTTTATCCCACCCTCTTTTACTCACAAAAGTCCCCAAAGTCATTACAATGAAAAAAAAAAGTGGGTTTCCATTACCCAGGTACTAACAATGCTCAGTAAAAATAAGGATGATAAACACAAAGCTTGCTTAGTAAACACGGGCTCTCAGCGTTCAATGCAAAAAAGAAAAGAAAAAGAAAGAAAGAAAGAAACCAAAAGCTGAAATCTTAAGGCAAATACTGTTGACTTTGCACATGGGCCAGATGAACTTAGAACCCTTTACCTAGCTGCAGAGTCCCAGGAGCCTAGAGGCACTTGGTTTGTCAGCACTTGCCACTGGTGGAGGCAAGATCTCTATTATTGCTGAGGCTGTTGGGGTGTTTCTCTTTGGAATTTATATACAAACACACCCAAGGCTGATGTATTTATATATATATATGTACACACATTCAAGGCACACTACTCTTTCTTTGTGGAAATTGATAGTTCTACTTCAGGTAGCTGGATGCCAACCTTAGGCCCACTGTCATTGCTGGAGGAGGAAGACAGCCGGGACTTCTTGGAGGCCAAGGACACTCCACTCCCCTGTAACTTGACTGCCTCATCATCACTCCCTGTCACCTCATAATGACCTTTGCTCTTTGAACCCAACCCACCAAAGGTACCAAATTTCAGCTTTCCATGTTTGCCTTTAACTTCTCCACCTGCAAATTCCAAAGTCCCAGTTGGGGTGGAAGGCGCAGAGAACTCCCTCTCATCGCTGAAGGAGTTGGAGCGGTGTCTTGGTTTCTTGCTTTTAAACAGGGAGAATTTGCCTTTTGGTGAAGATGCTTCAGCATCTGCTTCTCCTTCCAGAGAGCCCAAGCTGGCCTTTGAGCTCTTCAGGTCCCCTTTGGACCCAGAAATGGATGCTTCTGGTGAGCCAGTGACACCACCTTTCCCTTTAGGCTTGGAAAAATTAAACTTCGGCATTTTGATTTTGGATTTTTTAAGTTTTACTTCAGACTCTTCCCAGTCACCTTCTGCACCAGCCTGCACATTGGCCTCTACTTTAGGGAAGTTGACATCCACCCCTACTTCTCTGCCAACAAGCTCACGGCCAGAGAAGGTAAATTTGGGGATCTTCATCTTGGGGAACGTTACTTTTCCAGATCCACTTTCCAAGTGACCCTGAGGCCCAGACACACTCAGCCCAGGACCTTGGAGTCCAATCTGGCCTCCTTTCACACCGCCTTCTATCTTTGGTCCTGAGAAATGAAGGTTCCCAGCAAGTTTAGATGTATCCAAGTTTAGAGAGGAGGAGACCTGGGGTCCCTTCCACTCAACCCCAGAGCCTTTGACACTCATATGCCCTTCACCCAGGTTGATATCTGGGACACTGACACCCCCTGAGACATCTACACCTCCTTTGACTTTGGGGCCCTTCAAGCTGACACCAAAATCTGACTCAGGTGATGCTGTGTTAAAGGAAGGCCCCTTGACGCTGACATCATGCAGACCTATTCCTGAACCTTTCAGATCTCCTTTAATTTCGGGACCAGAAAGCTGCCCCGTTGGGAGTTTCACATCACACCCAGAAGCCTTAATTCCAGGCATTTGGAGATTTCCTTCTAGGCCTTGAACACTGATACCTGGAAGACTTCCCCCAACTGCTGGGCCTTTCAGTTCACCAGCGGCCCCAAGGCTCCCCTTCACTTTTGGTCCTTCCACGTTAAAGTCCATGCTTGGAGCTGAGACATGGGGCCCCTTCAGGTTCACATCCATCCCCGGCCCCTTTAGTTCTCCACAAACTTGTGGCCCCTTGATGTTCATGTCCAAGTCGGACCCTGGAGTGGAGATGCCAAACTGAGGCAGCTTCATGTGGGGAAGTTTGATACCACCCTCTGAGGCCTCCAAACTGAGATCAGGAGCACCCACGGATATTTTAGGGCACTTGATGTCCCCAGACATAGCCAGATCTCCCTGTAGGCTTGGTCCCTTCAGCGTCACGTCTGGTGCCCCCACATTAAGTGCTGTTGTGGCATCAATCCCTGACACCTTCACACCATCTCCTCCTATCTGTACTTTTCCACCAACACCTTTGAGGTCAAGACCTGGGGTCTGCAGCTTCATGCTGGGACTGGATGCATCCAGGTCTCCTTTCAAACTTGGTCCTTTCAAGTTCAGGTCAAGATCAGGCCCAGAAACTTTTGGCATAGAGAGATTCACTGAAGGCAAGTCCACTCCTGGGCCTTTTAGAGACATATCAGGCCCTTCAAACTTAACATCTGATGTGCTCAAGCTTCCTTCAAAGGAGGGCATCTGGGCACAGATCTCAGTGCCCCCACCTTCCATTTTCATACTAGGGGCACTAATCTTGGGCAGTGAAAACTTAGGGAACTTGATTTTTCCTTCTGGACTTTGCAAATCTATGTCAGGTCCTTCCAGTCCCACACTGGGAACATCACCCTTTATCTTTGGTCCTTTCAACTGAACATTCACATCAGGTATGGAGACCTGAGGGGCAGAAACACTAAATGAGGGGGCTTTGATTTTGGCATCAGAGCCTTCGATGCTGATGTCAGGTGTGTCCAAGTTTGCCTGCACCTTAGGACCTTTCAAGTTGCCCTCTATCTTCGGCCCTGAGACATCCACACCTGGGACCGTGAACTTGGGAGCCTTCACATGAATGTCAGGAGCTTCCACATTAATCCCCGGGGAAGAAATATCCAGGTCAGGTACCTTGATTTCACCCTCCATCTTGGGGCTAGGTAGGGAAGCCTCTGCTTTAAATTTAGGTGACTTAATATCAAATTCTACGTCTGGGAAATACATTTTCCCAAACATGGTTTTCTTGACTTTGGGAGACTTGACATCACCTTTGAGTGCAACATCAGGACCTGCCCCGCCAATATCCACTTCAGGAGCCTTAAGGCTGGCATCAACCTCACCTCCAGGAACATTCAAATCAAATCCCTGCTTTTTGGCCTTAACTTTAGGACCACTCATGTGGATTTTAGGCATTTTAAACTTGCTTTTCTTGCCCTTTCCGCCAACACTTACTTCAGGAGTCTCAACACTCAGCTCTGCTTCAGGGACAGTCACATCAACCGAGGGTGTCTTGATGTCAGCTTTAGGGCTTTTTGCACCAAATCCAAACTTGGGTTTCTTAAACTTTGGAACTTTAACATCTGGCCCCTCAATATTAATATCTGGGCTCTCCATGTGGACATCTAAGCTTGGCGTTTCTAAATCAACTTTGGGGCCCTTGACGTCCAATTCACCTCCTAACTTGGGCCCAGAAACTCCAATTTTTGGTGTCTTGAGGTGCAAATTAACATCAGGTCCAGTTACTTTAGGAGCAGATATATCCAATGATGGCATCTTCAAGTTAGGACCACTAAGTTTAGCATCAGGGCCTTCGAAATCTAGGCCTGGACCTTTCAGGTCTACTTCAGGTCCTTTGAGTGTACCTTCAATCTTAGGAACAGACACATCAAAGTCTCCCTTTACTTTTGGTCCTTTTAACTCCAGATCCACATCAGGCATGGAGATCTTAGGAGCCTTGATGTTGATCTCAGGCATCTTGAACTTGGGACCCTTCAACTTTGCATCAGGACCTTCAATGTTCACATCTGGAACATCAATGTCCACCTTGGGTCCTGAGACCTCAATGTCAGCCTTAGGCAGGTTCACATCCACTTCAGGGCCCTCTCCTTTGAAGCCAGGCATGCTGAACTTGGGCATTTTCACCTTGGGCATCTTCAGATGCCAGTCTGGACCATGAACGTCCACATCTGGAACATCAATGTCCACTTTGGGGCCTTTGATGTCAACTTCTGGGCCTTTGAGGTCTCCTTCCACTTTTGGAAGAGAAACATCCACATCACCCTTCACTTTTGGCCCTTTCAGGTTCAGGTCAATCTCTGGCATTGAGATCTTGGGTGCCTTGAGGTGGAGATCAGGCATTTTAAACTTGGGGCCCTTCAGCTTCCCTTCTGGACCATGGATGTCAATGTCAGGAGTATCAATGTCCAGTTTGGGGCCTTTGACATCCACTTTGGGACCTTTCAAATCCCCTTCTAGTTTAGGAATAGAAACGTCCAAATCTCCCTTTATCTTAGGTCCTTTCATGTTCAAATCAATGTCACTCATTGAAATTTGTGGGGTTTTGAAATGGACATCTGGCATCTTAAATTTGGGACCTTTGAGTTTTCCTTCGGGACCCTCAATGTCTATCTCTGGCCCTTTGAGATCACCTTCCACCTTAGGTACTGCAAGGTCCACATCTCCTTTTACCTTGGGCCCTTTAAGGTTTAAGTCAAAGTCAGGCATGGAAATCTTTGGTGCTTTGATGTGCATGTCTGGCATTTTAAATTTGGGTCCTTTTAATTTTCCTTCTGGACCTTCAATATTGACATCAGGAGTGTCAATATCCACACTGGGGCCCTTGATATCAATACTGGGGCCTTTAAATTCACCTTCCATTTTAGGCAGGGAAGCATCCACATCTCCCTTCACTTTGGGGCCTTTCAGATGCAAATCAAAGTCAGGCATGGAGATCTTGGGAGCCTTGATGTTCATCTCAGGCATCTTGAACTTGGGACCCTTCAGTTTCCCTTCTGGACCTTCAATATTCACATCTGGAACATCAATGTCCACCTTGGGTCCTGAGACCTCAATGTCAGCCTTTGGTAGATTCACATCCACTTCAGGGCCCTCTCCTTTGAAGCCAGGCATGCTGAACTTGGGCATTTTCATCTTGGGCATCTTCAGGTGCCAGTCTGGACCATGAACGTCCACATCTGGAACATCAATGTCCACTTTGGGGCCTTTGATGTCAACCTCTGGGCCTTTGAAGTCTCCTTCCACTTTTGGCAGAGAAATATCCACATCACCCTTCACTTTTGGCCCTTTCAGGTTCAGATCAACCTCTGGCATTGAGATCTTGGGTGCCTTGAGGTGAAGATCAGGCATCTTAAACTTGGGGCCCTTCAGTTTCCCTTCCGGACCATGGATGTCAATGTCAGGAGTATCGATGTCCACCTGGGGTCCTGAGACCTCAATGTCAGCCTTAGGCAGGTTCACATCCACTTCAGGGCCTTCTCCTTTGAAGCCAGGCATGCTGAACTTGGGCATTTTCACCTTGGGCATCTTCAGATGCCAATCTGGACCATGAACGTCCACATCTGGAACATCAATGTCCACTTTGGGTCCTTTGATGTCAACCTCTGGGCCTTTGAGGTCTCCTTCCACTTTGGGTAGGGAAACATCCACATCTCCCTTGACTTTGGGGCCCTTAAGATGTAAATCAGGCATGGAGATTTTAGGAGCTTTGATGTTCATCTCAGGCATCTTGAACTTGGGGCCCTTCAGTTTGCCCTCTGGACCTTCAATGCTAACATCAGGAACATCAATGTCCACTTTAGGGCCTGTAATATCAACCTCTGGACCTTTGAGGTCTCCTTCCACTTTGGGCAAGGAAACATCCACATCTCCCTTTATTTTGGGACCCTTAAGATGCAAATCAGGCATGGAGATTTTAGGAGCTTTGATGTTCATCTCAGGCATCTTGAACTTAGGACCTTTCAACTTTCCTTCTGGTCCTTCAATGTTTACATCAGGGCCTTCAATATCCAATTTAGGTCCTGAGACACCAATGTCAGCCTTAGGCAGGTTCACATCCACTTCAGGGCCCTCTGCTTTGAAGCCAGGCATGCTGAATTTGGGCATTTTCACCTTGGGCATCTTTAGATGCCAGTCTGGGCCATGAACATCCACATCTGGAGCATCCATTTTGGGGCCTTTGATATCAACTTTTGGCCCTTTAAGATCGCCTTCAAGTTTGGGAAGAGAAACATCTACATCACTTTTTACCTTTGGGCCTTTCAGGTTTAAGTCAATGTCAGGCATGGAGATCTTCGGAGCTTTGATGTTCATCTCGGGCATCTTAAATTTGGGGCCTTTTAAGCTTCCCTCTGGACATTCCACATTGAGTTCTGGGCCCTCAATATTCATACTTGGACCTTCTATATTGATGTCTCCTTTTGGTAAATCCATAGCCACATCAGGCCCTTCTGCTTTTAAGCCAGACACACCGAACTTGGGCATTTTCATCTTGGGCATTTTCAGATTCCATTCTGGACCATGAACGTCCACATCAGGTGCATTAAGATGAACTTCTGCTGCTTTAATATCCACTTTGGGGCTTTTAAAGTCTCCTTCTAAATTTGGGCCTGCTACATCTAAGTCTCCTTTGACTTTAGGACCTTTCAAATTTAGCTCTACATCAGGCATAGAAACTTTGGGAGATGAAATACTCAGGAAAGGCATTTTAAATTTGGATCCTTTCACTTTGCCATGGACTTCAACGTCTGGAGCATTAATATCAACTTTTGGTGCTGTTACATCAACATCTGGCTTTTTAACTTTGACATCCATGTCAGGTGTCTGAATTTTGGACCCAGAAAAATTAAATTTGGGAAGCTTAAATCGAGATTTCTTTGATTTCCCTTCAATATTGACCTTGGGAGCAGAAATGTCCACTTCTGGGCCCTTCACATCCAACTTGGGAGTTTTAAGGTCACCCTCTAATTTGGGTCCAGATACATCAATGTCTCCCTTGAGCTTCGAGCCCTTTAAATTCAAGTCAATTTCTGGCATGGAGATCTTGGGCATGTTTACATGCATGTCAGGCATTTTCAGTTTGGGACCTTTTAATTTGCCCTCAGGACCATGAATGTCAACATCTGGAGCATTTATGTCTAATTTTGGACCCTTTATATCAAGAGAAGGTCCTTTCAAATCACCCTCTACATTTGGAAGTGAAACATCCATATCTGCTTTCACTTTGGGGCCTTTAACATTAAGGTCAAAATCAGGCATGGAGATTTTAGGAGCTTTGATGTTCATCTCAGGCATCTTGAACTTGGGGCCCTTCAGTTTGCCCTCTGGACCTTCAATGCTAACATCAGGAACATCAATGTCCACTTTAGGGCCTGTAATATCAACCTCTGGACCTTTGAGGTCGCCTTCCACTTTGGGCAAGGAAACATCCACATCTCCCTTTATTTTGGGACCCTTAAGATGCAAATCAGGCATGGAGATTTTAGGAGCCTTGATGTTCATCTCAGGCATCTTGAATTTGGGGCCCTTCAGCTTTGCATCAGGACCTTCAATGTTCACATCTGGAACGTCAATGTCCACCTTGGGTCCTGAGACCTCAATGTCAGCCTTTGGTAGATTCACATCCACCTCAGGGCCCTCTCCTTTGAAGCCAGGCATGCTGAACTTGGGCATTTTTATTTTGGGCATCTTCAGGTGCCAATCTGGACCATGAACGTCCACATCTGGAACATCAATGTCCACTTTGGGTCCTTTGATGTCAACTTCAGGAACTTTAATCTCACCTTCCATTTTGGGCAGAGACACGTCCACATCACCCTTCATTTTGGGGCCTTTCAGGTTAAGATCAATGTCAGGCATGGAGATCTTGGGGGCTTTGATGTTCATCTCAGGCATCTTGAACTTGGGGCCCTTCAGTTTGCCCTCTGGACCTTCAATGCTAACATCAGGAACATCAATGTCCACTTTAGGGCCTGTAATATCAACCTCTGGACCTTTGAGGTCGCCTTCCACTTTGGGCAAGGAAACATCCACATCTCCCTTTATTTTGGGACCCTTAAGATGCAAATCAGGCATGGAGATTTTAGGAGCCTTGATGTTCATCTCAGGCATCTTGAACTTGGGACCCTTCAGTTTCCCTTCTGGACCTTCAATATTCACATCTGGAGCCTCAATGTCCACTTTGGGTCCTGAGACCTCAATGTCAGCCTGTGGTAGATTCACATCCACTTCAGGGCCCTCTGCTTTGAAGCCAGGCATGCTGAACTTAGGCATTTTCATCTTGGGCATCTTCAGGTGCCAGTCTGGACCATGAACGTCCACATCTGGAACATCAATGTCCACTTTGGGTCCTTTGATGTCAACCTCTGGGCCTTTGAGGTCTCCTTCCACTTTGGGTAGGGAAACATCCACATCTCCCTTTACCTTGGGACCCTTAAGATGCAAATCTGGCATGGAGATTTTAGGAGCTTTGATGTTCATCTCAGGCATTTTGAACTTAGGGCCTTTCAATTTGCCTTCTGGTCCTTCAATTTCAATGTCTGGCCCACTCATGTCCACATTTGGCCCTTTGAGGTCTCCTTCCAATTTGGGGACATCTACATCAATCTCCCCCTTTATCTTTGGACTCTTTAAGTGAAGATCAATGTCTGGCATGGAGATTTTTGGAGCTTTAAAGTGCATTTCTGGCATCTTGAATTTAGGACTTTTCCATTTACCTTCTGGGCCTTCCACAGCTACTTCTGGCATGTCAGCATCCAATTTGGGGCCCTTGACATCCAGTTCTGGAGCCTTTAATTCCCCCTCAAGCTTTGGGACTGAAACATCAATATCTCCTTTGATTTTAGGACCCTTTAAGTTGAAATCAACATCAGGCATGGAGATCTTGGGGGCCTTGAAGTGCATGTCAGGCATCTTGAACTTGGGGCCCTTCAGCTTTGCATCAGGACATTCCAGGTCAACATCAGGCACTTCCACATCCACACTGGGGCCTTTCAAATCTCCTTCTAGTTTGGGCACCGTCACATCCACATCCCCCTTGACTTTGGGGCCTTTCAAGTGTAAGTCCACATCAGGCATGGAGATCTTGGGGGCCTTGAAGTGCATGTCAGGCATTTTAAACTTGGGGCCCTTCAACTTTGCATCGGGACATTCCAGGTCAACATCAGGCACTTCCACATTCACACTGGGGCCTTTCAAATCTCCTTCCAGTTTGGGCACCGTCACATCCACATCCCCCTTGACTTTGGGGCCTTTCAAGTGTAAGTCCACATCAGGCATGGAGATCTTGGGGGCCTTGAAGTGCATGTCGGGCATCTTGAACTTGGGGCCCTTCAACTTTGCATCGGGACATTCCAGGTCAACATCAGGCACTTCCACATCCACACTGGGGCCTTTGACATCAACTTGAGGACCTCTGAGATCAGCCTTCATTTCTGGCACAGAAGCATCTATCTCTCCTTTCAGCTTAGGCCCCTTCAAATTCAAGTCCACATCTGGCATGGAAATCTTGGGAGCCTTGATATTTAGCTTGGGCATCTTGAACTTGGGGCCCTTCAGCTTTGCATCTGGACCTTCAATATTCACATCTGGAGTCTCAATGTCCACCTTGGGTCCTGAGACCTCAATGTCAGCCTTTGGTAGATTCACATCCACCTCAGGGCCCTCTCCTTTGAAGCCAGGCATGCTGAACTTGGGCATTTTCACCTTGGGCATCTTCAGGTGCCAGTCTGGACCATGAACATCCACATCTGGAGCATCAATGTCCACTTTGGGGCCTTTGATGTCCACTTCAGGAACTTTCACTTCACCTTCTATCTTGGGCACCGTCACATCCACGTCCCCCTTGACTTTGGGGCCTTTCAAGTGTAAGTCCACGTCAGGCATGGAGATCTTGGGGGCCTTGAAGTGCATGTCAGGCATCTTAAACCTGGGGCCCTTCAGTTTCCCTTCTGGACCTTCAATATCAATATCACCAACATCCACATCCATCTTAGGGACTTTAACATCAACTTCAGGACCTTTCAAATCTCCTTCGACTTTTGGAAGAGAAACATCTACATCACTTTTCACTTTAGGTCCTTTCAGATTAAGCCCAACATCAGGCATAGAGATTTTATGTGTCTGTATATTCATGCTCGGCATCTTGAACTTGGGACCCTTCAGTTTCCCTTCTGGGCCTTCAATATTCACATCTGGAGCCTCAATGTCCACCTTGGGTCCTGAGACCTCAATATCAGCCTTAGGCAGGTTCACATCCACTTCAGGGCCCTCTCCTTTGAAGCCAGGCATGCTGAACTTGGGCATTTTCACCTTGGGCATCTTCAGATGCCAGTCTGGACCATGAACGTCCACATCTGGTGCATCTACTTTAGGGCCTTTGATGTCAACAGCAGGAGCTTTTATTTCTCCTCCCACTTTTGGAACTGAGACATCATATTCTCCTTTCACTTTAGGGCCTTTCAAATTCAAGCTAACATCTGGCATGGATATCTTCTGAGGCTTTATATTCATTTCTGGCATCTTAAATTTTGGTCCTTTCAGTTTGGCATCAGGACCTTCAATGTTCACATCTGGAACACCAATGTCCACCTTGGGTCCTGAGACCTCAATGTCAGCCTTAGGCAGGTTCACATCCACCTCAGGGCCCTCTCCTTTGAAGCCAGGCATGCTGAACTTGGGCATTTTTATTTTAGGCATCTTAAGGTGCCAGTCTGGTCCATGAGCTTCAACATCTGGAGCATCAATGCCAACTTTGGGTCCTTTAATGTCCACATCTGGCACTTTTATTTCACCTTCTACCTCAGGCAATGATACATCCACATCTGCTTTTCCTTTGGGCCCCTTAATATTTAAGTCCACATCAGGCATGGAGATCTTGGGGGCTTTGAAGTGCATGTCAGGCATCTTAAACTTGGGACCCTTCAGTTTCCCTTCTGGACCCTCAATGCTCACATCTGGAGCCTCAATGTCAACTTTGGGGCCTTTGACATCAATGTCAGCCTTAGGCAGGTTCACATCCACTTCAGGGCCCTCTGCTTTGAAGCCAGGCATGCTGAACTTGGGCATTTTCA